CGCCATCCTTCCACTCTCTCAGTAATCAGGGCCAGATGGAGGCAGATATGGAGTGATGGAGGGAGGGAGGATTGGGTTTGGTCGTAGCAGTGTCTTAGAACGTGGGGAGCTGTCAGCCCTGCAGGGAGAGAGGAATTCTCCAGCAATAAAATAGGGATTTATCACCACTCTACCACAGAGAGAGAGGAGAGAGATGAAGGGAGAGGGTGTGAGGCAGAGAAAAGGACGAAGAGATTAAGAAAGTCAGAAAGAGAAGGTTGATGTGGGAGAGAAAAGAATAGAGAGGGGCAAAAAGAGAAAACCACAGAGGGATCAAGAGAGAGGGGGAAAAAACTGATAGATGACTTTTCATCATCGTAAAGCTTCAGACAGATGAGAGAGATTGAAGGAAGGAACATGCAGGATGATGGACTGAGTTTGCCGTTGAAAAAGACCTGGAAGGAGGACAACGCCAAAAGAAAAGAGGAGAGCAGAAATTAAGAGAGACAGTTGTATGATGACACCCGTGGCTCATCTGCTCAGATTCTAGCAGCCTGACAATTTCTTGCCATCTGTAGCATGCAGGAAGGCCAGTGTCTGTCCTGAAAGTAATGCCCAGTTGCATTCAGCAAAAAGACTCACCCTCCCCTACTGGGCCAAATGAACCTGCTAAAATAACCACTCTCCACAATCGGCTGTGTAATTGAAACCAGAATGTGCAGGATTTGATAAATTGCTTGACCCTGCAGGAATGTTAAGGTCGTAAATTTTTAGTGCATTTTGGCCATGCTGAGGTGTGCAGAGGTGTATGTTAAGAACATGTCCACTGGTGTGTATGTGTGTGTGTGTGAGAGTCACAGAGAAAGGCTGTCTATTTATTACTTCAAAATATTATGGTCTTTCAAAGTTGAAAGGTGGCAAAACAAATACTAGTACATGTACAATGTGTATGCACCCACAGCACATGTAGACACATCAGCATTCAAGCACACGTACCTACAAATTAAATTGCACATTCCCACTCAATGACTAAATAGACTATAAATTGTGCTTCTCCTCCAACTCTTCAGTGGTTTACATCAAAGGAGTAAAATAAAAGCAATGGAGCTCTGAAAAAGTTGTGCACACCAACACATTCTCACTCTCAACTCGTCAAATACTGCCACTTAGTTAGTGGCCCTCCTCTTCAAAATATGATGCTGCAGGGACCCCTCTAGCAACATTTCTGGACATGCAGGGTGGGACTAACGCTGTCAAGTTACCAACAATAAATATGCCATGTCCGGTCAAGTTAGCAATAGTAAATGTGCTACGTCTGGTTAGACTTTTAAATAAAGCTTGCTTTGTTAACGCACTTTGGTTAGGTTTAGGTCTTGAACATCAATGGTATTGAAAATGTGCGTGTGAGGTAATATTTGGATTTTAATAAACTGTCGCATGACAGCTGTTCTCATCTCACAGTTGAGCTGTTTATGTCAGTGTTTCATAGTTGATTGGTGGTGGCACAGAAGCTGGTTTAGAGACAGTAAAAAACAACAAACACTGTAGTATTTTCATGCAGTCCTGTGTGCTTCAGTTGTTATTTTCTGTGCTCAAGTTTGTAACTGTTCAACAGATAAGATGCTCACGGCAGACAAGTCCAGTTTGCACCAGTTTACATAAATATCAGGGTAAGAAAGCATTTTTAACTTGGAGTGTTAGCCTTGACCTTGACCCCTTTTCTTCATGTGCTGCACTCAAGACTTTAGCACTGAGGCATAAAACTAACCAGTTCATACAAAGTGTTGACCATCTCTGAAGGCAAAACTGTTTTTACCTGTTCCAAATGGCCACACTCAAAGCACTCAAGCTGGAAAGAAGACTGCTTGGCATACTTTCTCACCTCCTCATACCTGGTCAGTTACTGTGTGAAATGCTCATCAGATTGCCGGTTTCAGAAAGTTACAGAAATTGCCAGATGCTGTTCAACAATCCCAGCACCACTCATTTGTCTTCCTTCTCGGCTCGGCAAAAACCTTGAGATTTGTGAAAAAACAAAGCTGATCATCCATTGGTCAGACCATAGCTGCCACACCCAACCTATCTTAGCTGCTGAGCTTCAGGTGGTGGACACTAAACACCATTGGTCCACAAGCCAAAGTCTGTAGGTTACAGGTTCTTCTATATGCCTCAAATCCATGCAGCAACCTGGGCCAGCCCAGACCACAACAAGACCATGAGTACTTCTCTTAAATGCTGATGAAGGAGGGGATCACACAAGGGTGAGAGGAGCAGAGTCTGGCAGAGACCAAGGACAAACCCATCCGTCACAGTTAAAACATGAAGATGAGAAGTATGAGCACAAACAGCCCTGTTACAAGCATGGGCTAACCCTGATTAGTTGAGCACATGAAAAAGTTCAGTGAACAGACACGCTAAGTTGTTCGAAAGCCCCATGACAAAGCTTGGGAGGGAGTGGAATATACCTGTATATACCGTATGTCACAGATATGACGCATTCTTCACTGTTTTTTTAAAAGTCGAGGGATTAAAGATTGCAATAAATTAAAATTAAAATCGACTAAATGCAGACAAAAAAACCTCATATATAAAGTTCATGTATATATAAACTAGCCACCATCTGTATGTATGTCAACAGTGTTGAGGGCATGTAGAGCCCAGCCAGGACCAGAGGGCATAGAGAGGTCAACACAGTGTAAACATAGACCACCACACGATTTACGATGTTTGCTGGCTGCTAAGACGAGGGGTCTGCACATTCTCACAATCATAATTGCTTTTAGCAGCTTTTCAATCAACCTGACTTGGTGGACATTGTTTTTGTATTTTTTTCACCTCTCATTTTTCCCCCTTGTCATCAGGGAGGCTGCTCTGTGTGTCAGTAGCTGCCCTTGCGTAGCTGTGACTTCAGTCTAAACGTAAGCAAACGTCGAAAACTCCAAGATTCTTTCTTTTTTTTCCTTCTCTTTTTGTAATTAGGAGCAGACATTTCTTTCTCTCCCTCTATTTCTGGCACTTTCGAAACCCCGACATTGGCCACTCTGGCCAACTGAAAAGGGAAAACCCAGTCACACATGTGGACATCTGGTTGTACACAGAGAGCATGCAGCCCCAGAGCATTTTACCCCCCCTCCCTCGCCTGTTGACAGTTGTTACCTGTGCCCCGGCAGGCCCTCACTGCCCCAAGATAAAACCACCTCTATCCAGAGCCAGACACATAAATATTTCTCTTTCTATTTTCCAAAATAGCTTTTAATTTTACAAGTTTTATGGCCCTAATATTAAGTGCATATGTTTTACAAGACACTGTGTCCTCTGCCTCACCCCTCGGGTTCAGGTTTTTTTCTTTAGTCTTCTAAAAAAAGAAGAAGAAAAAAAACATAAGTGGTAGGGAAAGGTACTCCAGAGATGGATTTTTCTGCATGTTTTTCCAAGGATTCACATGTTCCACCTGAACCCTTGTGGGGTATAGTTAATTAGTAGCCACGCCACAATTGTCTTGTCTCACCTGTTAGCAGTTCCAAGTGTAGCAATGCTAATGAATTTACACCATGCAGACAGCAGAGACAGGGAAATAAATAACATGCTCAGCATCATGACAAGGGGATGAACATATAAAAAATGGTGTTTATCTACCATCACAAACTATAACTCCAACATGCTAGTGGGGAACTGAGTAGCCAGCATGTTGGTTGTGAGGTTTGCTTTTCCATGTGCATCTGTATTCTTAGCCTCCCAATGACCTCTTTCTCTCCCTACATCTCCTCAACATCATGCACATGTGTTTCAGTGACTAGTTACACCATAAAGCTCTGATTCATCTTTCATGCAACAGATTTTTTAATTCCATCAGCATATGCGACCAAACTGCATGAACCTAAACTCATTTAACTTGAAAAGAGAGCCATCTGAAAAAACAATTTTTAATGAAAAGCTTTTTTATTGTCCTTATATAATATAAACATCTGAGTACAAAGATCATCATATAAAGAAAACAGCTTTCTGCTTTCCAGTAATGCTTTACAGATTTATCACTCTAAACACAGAATAACTTTGCCTAACATGAATAACAGTTTCAAGTGATAGTTATAAAAACTGTAAATTATAAACATAGGAAAAATGCTACAACTGTGAATTCAAGTCAATGTGAGTCCTCAAGTCCTCAAGTTTAAAGAATGCTCAAAGCAAAATTCACTGTGTGGGAGCTTTTCATTTACCATGTAATCCAGTGTACTTGGGACTTTCATTTTTATTTTCTCGTGGCACACAAGTATAGATTATCACAAGTTTCAGATAGTGCTGCAAAATATAACTTTGAAATACAGAATATATAGAGACAATAGTGATAATATTACAGCAAATGAAATAATAGAAAGCTTGAAATTGAAGGGGTTTTCTTATGCTGTACCTCTTACTGTTTATCATTACACTGACAGTAAACAGCATTGTCCATGTCCCTCTCTGCAAGACATCCCAATTCACAAGTGCAAAACAGACATCAGAACAGGCCCAACATTGCTTCAGATGAAATACGCCACAATAAATCCCCCTGCATATATCTCCAGCATACTTGCATCATGCTGTCCGCTGTGCTCAGATTTAGCTCTGGTGGTGACATGAGTTACAGCACTCTGTCTGAAACCACCTTGTGGGGATTTATTACTGTGGCATACAACTCTGACTGGAGGAATATTTGGATGGGGGAGAGAGGAGAAATGGGGAAAGTATTTTGCTTTGGGTTGAGACAGAAGCATTTGGATGAAGGACAGAGCCAGGACTGTGGCAAAGAAAAAAATGGCACAAATATGGTTTTGTTCCAACGGGATAGTAAATAACTGGATGTCTGTGATAATGATAAAATTTTAATGGCATCAATCCTCTAATTTTTTAGATACATTTACTAAAAAACTTCAGGATGTTTTCCAAAACAGATGTTTTCAAATGTTTTTGATAAATGGGAAATGTTTAGGAGGGAGCAATGGAAAAGTCATTGGTTTTGTTTTATTGCTTCCATTCTACAGATGGTGGAGACAAAGAATGATGAGAGAAAGAAGAATCAGTCAGAAAAAGTCCGCTCATCCTCTACATTATTTGTCGCTTTTGCTACTTTCCACGACCAGCTGATGCAAAAACAAACGTGATTCATGTGAGTTTCTACATCTGCTGTTCCAACCACCAGATGCTTCGTTGTTCTTTTCTGAGAAGAATTCCCTGGCAAACAGGAAGTGAGCCATTTTTCTACAATAACAAATTATTTGGGATAAACAAATGAAGGTCTGTGTATGTAGTTTGAGCCATGATAGCAAAGAGCACTACCTGCAAAAACTTTATCAACAGAAAATCCAAGGATACCTATATACATAACACCCTTTGGCACGTGAAGTTTCCAGGAATCCTGGAACCTTTTTAGGAACTCAGGGACTATTCCTGTATTGTGACAGGAGCTACCAGGACTGTAATTCCTGGCTACGAAAGGTCCCTGCTACAGGTGTTTAACTGATTTCTAAAGCAAAATTTCTTTTCACCCATTCGTGATCCTATTTCGGTGCTGGCCAAGCATCAGAGGGGTTCAATTTCTTACCTAAAGACACTTCGTACTGTGGACAGTATGAGGTAGGGATCAGACCTCCAGCCCTGTGATCAGTGGATGACCTGCTCTGTCTCGTGAGGCACAGCAGCCCCTGGGTGCAGAATGCTGTGCTGAGGGTTGCAGATTTGTCAAACACAGAGACTGAGGCTGCTACATGTTCTATGTAGCATTCATTCACACAGCAAGCAAGCACTGGTTGCTCGTAGTATCTGTATTAGGGCTTACAACGGGAATTTGTTGTAATTTTTAAATAAAGTTATGTGGTTGACGTCCCAACTACTGTAAAAAGGTTTGAGATAAAGAGAGCAACTGGGCAAATGAGAGCATCAATAAAATTAACTTTTTTTTTACTAAAAATGTTACGATTACATATGAAAACAGAAAAATAACAAGACAATTAGAAAATACAGAAGATTGTAGACAGCCACATATCTTCTTTTCCACTTTCATTTAAATGTCATATTCTTGCAGAAATTAATTACAAATTCAATTTTATTCAGTTTTATGTATTTTCTGCCAACTAAGTTTAAGTGTTTTTGAGCATCTTCAAAAAGCTGTTGTTTTCCATTGTTAGTCTGATTTACCTAAAGCCCACAGTTCTCCACGTGTGTATAGTACAGTACCATGATTATGAAAGTTGCTCAGTATTGTTTTTGGCAGCTTTTGCTGCTTTGCATATAGCAGAGAAAAATCCATTGCATCCACAGTGGAAGTAGAGCCTCATGCTGTTCTAACGTGAGGCCATCCATTTTTCATCTTTTTCATTTTTCCACAAATTTAGACTGTGAACAAATATGTGACCATAGCATCCAGATGTTTTCCAAAACTTTTTGGTAAGTGGCCTCTCATTATCTGAAGTGGTGAGAATCTGACAAAACAGCTGGAGGAGACGATGAGAGCTGATTTGGAACAAAATAAGATTTGAGGGCTTAAAGTAAGCACAAGCTTTCACATCTTGACACGCCGATTACTAACGGCTTGAATGTGTTTTTATTCTCAGTCAAATATTTTGTCATTAATGAACTTTCACATAACTGGGAGGAGTGAAAAAAACTATCCATGACCCCTATCACCATGGATCTCGTCAAAATAGAAAGATAACAATCTCTCAGATTATCACAAGGCGATTCACCAGGCAATTAAAGAGGAAACACAGTCTCATTTACAGTAACCGTGGAACAGAGATGTTTCCAGAGTAGGCGCATGGTTGGTATTCATGGTAAGCTGCAGGGTAACCACAGTCTTCTGCTTACCACTCAGCAGCAATTTGGGGTGGTAAGTGCCTTGCTCAATGACACCACAAAGGTAGATCTGAAGGAAGAGGAGAGCATGTCTAGTCTTGTCATCCAGATATTTTGAGATGAAAAGACAAAGAAGGAATGACATTTTGCCCAGGAAACAGAGAGAGGAGTGAGGGTTTAGGGAACTTGCCCTGGGGCCCCTCCCCTACAGGGACAAATTGGTATCAAGTCTGTATCCAGAAGGATTAAGTCTGTGTTTGCTTTGCGCTTACTCGTGGTCGTGAGGACAACACAGCTTGAGTCCCCACACGTCTTCACAACTCACAAAGACACTAATATCTAAGGAGGAGATGGCTAATCTTTTTATTTAATCTGTGTATACAAGCAAACATACATTGTGCTCTTGGACATTTAAATGAACTAAAGCCAGAGCTACTGTCCTCAAAATGTTACATACAATTAAAGTTAAATACAATTCCAGTTTTTGATAATCACAACAGTGGGTAACGAGAAAGGCTGAAGCACTGTAAAAGCAATTGAACCCTCGTAGTGATAGTGGAACAGTTGAAGGTCATTTTATCCACCTGCTGCCCAGCAAAACACTTGATTTGCCGTTAAATGTCATATAAATCAGCATAACGGCATAGTTACAGATTATGCAGAAAATGTGACTTCTGGTCGTCTTCCATTCTCCTCTCGACCCGGAACAACAATATAGTTTTATATACTGTAAAACAAGCATGTCCTTATATTTCTCACCCCATCCATAGCCAAACTCACCTCCACATTTTCTCTTTAAATAACAGGCACTAATTAAATAAAAGGATGACTTTGGGGTACTGCCCCATTAGTGTTATTTTGACCGCTGAGAGACATGATTTTTATGATTTGTCAGATAATATGACGAGATGAGTTGTATCCTTCTCTTTAACACCTATTGCTTGAAGAGATGTAATAAAAGTACAAACTAATTAATAGTTTACACTCAAAGAGCACAAAAGGGTATTTCAATGTGGATACTAAAGGCGTTCTCCCTTGGTTTGAGCCTATGATTTCCCTCCTTTGTGAAGGAAAGGGCCCAGACTTTGTGGACTCAGCTCCGAGCTTACATGACATCAATATAAAGCTCCTGAGGTATAAAGTTTGAATTTTTCTCTTAACAAAATAGATATGTCACAAAGTGTTTTACGGGCAATCTCCTGCAGGATTGAGTTGGAAATATTTCCCAAAAATCTCCTTTATTTTGACTTCTCACGTTTTTATTTCCAGCTTTACGTTGCATCGAGATCATCAAACACAAAATCTAACCAGCTTTTCCGTTCAACTCTTTCGTCTCCAACTGATGCTTCATTTTTCTCAGATGCTCAACAGACTATAAACCCCTCATCTTGGACCGCACTCCTTCAGCCTGTGTGTTTTAGAGAGCCTCCTTGTCCATAATGCCATATAACATAAACACATTGCGTTTGATTGGTAGACATAAACATTGACTGTGGCTGGAGCACAGTTTAACGCCAGGCCACAACTCACGGCCGCTGTTAACAGGCTCGCTGCCATAATGGAGAGAAGCCAAGGTCGACTGCTGCCCCGCGCACTCAGGGTCATAGAGGAAGGTGACAGAAGAGAAGAATTCTGGGGAAAAGATGTGGGAAAAAAACGACACCTGCTTTTTAAAGAGATAGACTTATAAAGATAAAATGGATGGATGAATGGATGGATGGATGTTCATTTCAGACAATGGATACCATTAAAAAAAATGGTAGATATTATATTTGTCACACTCCAACACATGTAAATACACATTCTTTCAGGTTGCCTCTCAGATTACCTTCTCACAAAAGTGCTTCTTATTTACCTTGAAATTGTATTTGCTTCATTGCCATTCCATTTGGAGGTGATGACCCCGCTTATCTGGAGCCTAATAAATTCAGCTGTGTTTTTGTCGGCTAACACTAACATACCTCTCCTTCATCCATCATGGAGCTCAACAATAGCCATGTCTTCAGCTACTTCTGCGCTGCTAAAAGCTTTTTATGTGAAACCTGCAGACGTGCTGGGTGTGTTGTTGGGTGTGCATGTGTGTGTTCATGTATATGTGTGTTGAGGCTAAACGGTATGTGTGCCGTTTGTGTTTGTGCATGTATGTGTGTGTCTGGGGCCTGCAGCTTTCTCTCAAGCCTCTTATCAGATGGATGTGTTTGATATCTCCGCTGCCAAGGATTTCCCACATATACATAAACAACCTCTGGACCACTGGCAGGTTGCACTGACAGAGGCACATCGTTGAAACTCTTACATGTTTAGGAGTTCTGTTTCAGTGCTCTTATGTCACCCACTTTCCAGTTCAATCTTTCCCCTAAGCTACATTAAACAACATAACCCCAGTTGATGAAAAATGGCCTCATATTCGATTTTTCTCTCTCGCTGACACCAACACTGGTTTATTTAAAACGCCATGACCGTTAAACGAAGGAGTGTGTGCGCAGCAATGTGCCGCCAAACTAGACGAGTGACGTCTTCATTGATGTTAAGCTAGCTAGCACTTTGGCCTGTCATTGTCTCATGGGGCTGCATCAGCCATTTGCATAACAAGCCGTCCTCATGACACCAACGCCTTGACAGATGTCAGCCTTGTGAGAGAGGTTGGTCATGTCCTACTATCATGAATAAGCTTCTTTCACTTTTTGTTCCTGCTCTTTCTCCGCTTTGGCAGTAAACATTTTTATTTTGTGGTGAGCCATGTCTCATCAAGGCCCTTGCCCAAGTCATCACAGTGCTTAAGAGTCACTTGACAGTCATAAACATCACCTGAGGATATATTAAAAGTGGATCATTTTTCAGGAGGAACATATAAAATGTCTTACCAGATTTTATTGGAATGAAAGAAATCTATTAGATATCTATTAGAAATTTATTCTGATTTCAGTCAACAAGTCAGTGTGGTTATTATAGATTATATATGGCATATTATGAACTGTAATAACTATTTTCCTTTACTGTCTGTAAATCCCACTGTAAAGCTAAACAATGTTAGGGCTATGTAAAGCGTGTATGAGGACACTGCTGAAAATCTCCATCCTTAGAAAGTCATTTCTGACAAACATCTACTGGTTCAGTACACATTTCTAACATGTTTCCAGTGGAAAACAACAGTGTCTTCATTTTGAAACAAGAATAATGAGACTCTGAAAAGTAGAATTAAACTTAATATTAGAAAATACAAGTTGAATCTGCATTGAAACAGAATAGTGAAACTACCTCTCTGCACTGAACTGAAACATTTTGACTTGTTACAGACAAAAAGGACTCAATTAGAAGGAATTTGTTTGTAGTAGTAAACACACTTCTACTATATTGTAGTAAATGTTGCAGTTGTTCCAAAAGAATTAAAACGTGTAGCAGATGTGGTAGCAGTGGTATTTATTAGTGGCAGGCAGCACCATTGGGGGAAAAATTCCCTTTGTGTGACTAAATTGGCATTAGACATACGTCCACACAGCAACTACTGCATGATAAATTTACTATTTATCCCATGCTCAAATGCCACAAAACTGGAAACTGAACTGAGGAATAAAGTAGCCATAAGAACCACAGTCTCAACATCTCAGCATTTCACACAAGGCTCACTTGAGAAAAAAAGTATGGCAGCTCAAAGACTCTCCTTCATATTTGGTTGGAATGGTAAGTGGCCGTTGGTGCTCCCTGCTGTTTTACGTCACAGGGGAAACATCTTTATCACAGCATATATTATTCCACAACACAGCTTCCTGCATGGAAATGATCCCCCCTGTCCTCAATTCGCCTGCTTCTCTGATAGACTACATTGCTTCTTATAAACTGTCCATGGTCCATAAATTGTGCAGCGCCGAGCATAACACTACACAGTGTCGGCCTGCAGGGACACGCATGTTCAGGGCCCCCGCCTCTTCTCCCTCTGCCCTGGCTGAGATTTGCTTAGTAAATTGTGCGATGAGATCCCGGGGTTTACAGAACTGACAGGGAAAAATTGGCGAGAAGAAAAGTTTTAAACATACC